CTATTCTTAAAACAAATTTTTATTAAAAGAAAAATTAGAAATATCGAATAAAATTAATTTTCGCGATAACGAGATTTTAAATGAAAAAATTATATTATCTTCATTTTATATTTTTGATTTATTTTTCAAAAGAATCGCTTTCCTTCTAATCGCTAGTTTTAGAATACATCTTGGAAAGGCCGATAATTTATACGAAATTGGAACTTGGAAGGCATTCTCTGACAAGAAATCCGCTAGGATCAAGATAATACCATGGAAAGATCATTATCCTGCTGCTCAATCCGGAGAGCTCATCTGCAACGATTGCAGTAACTAGCGGCACGATTTTACCTCGCGTTCTGCTCGTCCGATTTATCTGCTTTATTACGAGCAACGTTGCAAAGATGCGGTGATAATTTTGCAATTAATTGCATGACTTCCTCCAGAAGATTTTCGTCACGGAAATAAATCATTTTAATCTTGACCGTTCCTGAGATTCTACTTTTACGAGCGGAAAATTTTGTAAAATAATTTTGTATATTTGCGCATGAATTAAATACATTATTTAAAATGTCCAAACAATTTCCCTATTTTGGATTATTATATATTTAAAATTTTTATTCAAAAATCTTTGAAAATCATCGCATAAAAATCAATTAATCAATTGCGCTAAGTTAATTGATAAAGTTAAAAAATTTTAATTTTTCAAAAAATGAAAATTCGAGTGAGTCGTATCATTTAATACTTTATATGGAAGTTAAAACGTTTTTAATTTGATTTTATTCGTATTGTTTTATATCTTCCTTTTCATACTTTGAATAAAAAAGGAAGATAAAATTCTAATTCTAAAATTTCCTTGAAGCTTGAAGGAATATTTAAATTATGATCTCAGATATATAATTTGAATATTCTTCTTTCAGTATTTCAATTAGCATTAGGAAATTAACATGAAATAATATTATAACATGAATAATATATAGCATATTAAGATTAATATTAATATAAATATGTATATTTATGATATATCAATCTTATATAAACATCAAAAAATTATGTTTTTGTTATTTATTTTTTAATCTCATTCTAAATGCATTTTTTTCTAAACATTTGAAAAAACAAATTAAAATTAAAAATACTTTATAATATTACTTCTCTTATAATAAATTCTCTTATGTAGTTTTACAAAATTTAATTTTATAAAATAAAAATATGATTAAAATAAAATTTTGTATAATCAAAAATTGATATAATCTATTAAAAATTTCTAACTTATTTTACTTATAAATAACTCACTTTGTTGTAAAAAGTAAATAAAGAATAAAATAAATAAAGAAACGAAACGATGTCATTAAATACGATGAATCGCAATTTTCCGAATGATAACTTGTTTTTGCGGCGACTCGCGAATTGCTACATTTGCACGATTCGCTAATAGCCATTTCCAGAGACTGTAACTTACGCCGACCATTATTATCATTCCGTTCACGATTATGAAAATATTCAACCCCTAAGCGCCTATTGTATGTATCATGTTTGATGACATAATAATACTCCAATCGAATGCCAATAATAAGAAATGTCTTTATTTATCACAAGCATACAACTTGTCTTTCGATAATCGATCTTTATAAGATTCGACGGAATTTTCGACGGATTCGATTGAAATGCTTAAAATTGATTACTACAACAAATATAGTTATTTGTTTGAAATTTGATTAATCTAGTTACACGTAATTATACACATACGCATTAAAAATCTAAGTAATACGATATTATTACGAATTAGAAAACGAATATTCTATATCTTAATTTGTAAACATATCGATATATATTGTATATAATTAGAATTTATTCTAAATATTCCTTTAAAATTTTCCTAGTATTTATACATAACAGAAGATAACAACACTAGTAAGTATTCGACATGCTTGAAAAAAATGTCAACACATTAACACACTTCCAGAAAAAGGCGGGATAATATTATTAAATAACGACTCACCATCGGATAGGAATCCATAACGAGCCTGGTCGGAGAAGCGTTTTCCACTTTCAACTGATCAATCTTTTATAGCTTCTTCTCCTCTAAGAAATTTCTCGTGCCACAAATAACCGCGTGCTTCGTATAACCGCGAAAACTTCAGATCGTGGATAACCACGCGGCACACGCGTGCACTCGCGTAAAGGTTAGTTGTCAATTGGCACATACATCACACCTTCCGTATTCCGTGCGTTTCTCTCCTTCGTCGCGCCCTCCGAGATGATTACGCGAACTACATAGGCAAATAACGTTTCTGACAAAATGTTGCACACAATTTCTAATGTCGAGCGAGCATAATGGAAACCTGTCAAGCGACAATCGAACCGCGTGTCGGCAATATACGCGCGCGCGTCGACAATCACATTCAAGTGTCACGCGGGCAACGAGTTCATCGAGTCACTCACTTGTACTTATAGAAAATGTTCGAACATTCTTCGTAACGTTATAACGTCAATCGAAAATTATGATGAAATTACACCGATATCGATGTGTGTCGCAGTAGCGCGCGTATTTTCGAAAAATCGCTGCCCGTCACGATTTGTAATAATAGAGAAACGAGAAGGGACAAACCTCGAACGACGCACTAGGGAGACAAGCGAGACAGCCAGCCCGTGCGCGCGTTCGAACCGATGCATCGCGGCAGCGCGATTCGAGCCGACTATTCGTCCGTATTCGCCCGGCTTCGGCCAACCTCGGCCCCCTTCGGCGCGCCCGAAGTACTGCGCGGGCGGTTCCGCCGAACGAGAACCGCTTGTCGTCAGAGACATTTCCGACGCTCATTCGGATTTCTCTCAATGAATGAAATCATGATTTCGGGCTACGCCGATTTAAAAAGGTAAGAAGAAACAAAGATTATTCTGAAAAGTTATAATAAATTTATTGAGATATAAATGTAAAGTTTTATTTGAAAAATGAATAGAAACGAATAGAAAGAAATAGAAACGAGATTGATGACTATTTGTTTACAAATGCTAAGTAGATGAATAAAGTTATATTAACAATTACATATAACTTACCTATTTTAACATGAAATGTCAAAGTTTATCTAATATGTTTTAATAAAACTGTCAACAACAAATTGTCGAATTTATCGTTAGAGAATAAGTATAAAATAATTTAAAAAATATAAATAATTCATATGTAAACAATTCTATTAATATTAAATTATTTTTATTTTATAAATATATGTATATATATATATATATATTTTCACTTTTCATATATATATATATATATATATATATATATA